TTGCGGGTTGCTATTAGCGGTCTCCCTTTCCTTTTACCAAACGTTGTCATTTGACATTTTTTAATGACACTCATTCCATTTCAGCCCAGGATGGCTACTAACTGCGTTTTTTGTTATATCAGTTTGATTGGGCTCCGTTCTATTTTAAGTTTGGTTTTCGGTCTTTGTTACCTGGTTGGAATACCTTTTCATAGGCTGCAGCGCCATAACCTTTCTTACAAAAAACATAATCACTTGATTTGACCGTTTTGTCTTCGTTTATATTGCTACCAATAATCACCATGGCAGGGATGTTGTAACTGCTGGTCTATATTTAAGTCTACTCAATCACTAAATATGTTTAAGAGAATTGGGCGATAAAATCATAGATTATTGATTTCAAAGTGGAGTGAAACAAGGTTGTAATCCCCCCTTCTTGAGTCGCTTGCCGATATTTTTGTCCGTTTTTGCTTTTATAAAGGGTGCTAACTTCTGTTATTGATGGTAAGCCTTTTACTCTTTTGTTAGATCTCTTTTCAAAATGTGCAAACCTGGCTCTCTGAAATTAACCGTTACGCCAATCCCTCAGTCAACCGACTTCTGGTTGGTAACAAATCTGACCTCGAATCTAAACGGGCCGTACCTTACGAGGAGGGGAAGGTGTGTTTTCTTTTTCCTTTGTTGAGAATTTTGATTCACACATATTCACTTTTTTTGCTTTCCTGATGTTCTCAAATTATATTAGTGTCTGATTTTAACCCCTCATGGTAGGCATGGAGTATGGCTAGTGAACAAACTACTACTTATAGCTACAAACATAATGGAAGTATCCACTACCTCTCCGTTATCTCAAAGAAACCTGCTCAAATTACTGTGGTGATTGAAACTTAACATCACTACTTATTGGTGTGGTCGGCGTGCTAATTTAAAATATTCTATGGAGTACGGTAAACAAGTAATAGATTGGCTCCCTCTGTCTTTATCAAGCCGAATTAAATTCTTAATTATTAGATTTGATCCATGTCGATTGCAACCCTCTTATGTTGTATATTGTAAAATCGGATGGTGGTAATTTTCTGTAGTATATGAGCATGTAAGCAGAAAATCTAATTCATGTATAACGACCGCTTGTTATAAAGCTCGGCTTTTCTTGGGATTTTAATCCAACGGTCGACATGTCTCTAGGTTATTATGACAATGTGCAATGGCTTTTCCACTGACCTTATTCACCTTCAGATAATAATCGTTGGGTTTCAGGGCCATCTGTGATTAGGTTGCACAATACTGCGTTTCGTGAGTTCTTGCGACGATAGTAAGGCACTTATTCGACAAATCGGCGAAAGATGTCCATCATTTAATGGTCTGCTATTTTGACATTTTCGTGTATTTGCTAACAAGATGATTGTTTGCCCGTTACAATAGTACAAATATTAGTTGATCATTGAGAGGTGGCAGTGTTTCTTGTGGTAATGATGGCTTTCAAGCCACAAGTGCGCACAACTAAATATATACAATTTGTTTTTGATCTATTCAAGTAGTTAAACATAGAATGATTTTACCAATATCGTGATTTTTCATTCCCAACACAGTGGTGATTGTCTTACAGCTAAAAACTCATGATCCTGTGTCGAATGATGTAAATACTCAGTCATTACAGTACAATAGCTCCTATTGACCTCATTGTTTGTTGTAAATGTAAATTCTAGTTTATTGTATAACCAGACATTAAAAGTATACGGATAATGCTACCTTTCGCAGTCTATGCTCATCAGAAAGCCTTGACTATGTTGAAGTGTTTTTGCCTCGTTATCTCGATGTTCGCCGTGATTAAAACAGCATCAGTCGCTTTCTATTTTCGCGCAAAATCTATTTTTTATGGGTTTCCCTGATGAATAATAAAACTGTTGAGCTTGAGCTAAAATAAATGTAAAAATTCAAGTCAGTGCTGGTTCTAGCGATGCTCAAGGCATTTTTTCTTCGGTTTCGGTTCCACAAAATTTTGCATGATCTTCAACTTATTAGGAATTAAAACAAGCTATTTTCCTCACTATGAGACTGTAATAGCCACCTAAGGGCGGGTTAGAACATTTTCATGTATAACTTTCTCAAATGCTTACGGCGTTGTCTTTAATAGAGTCTTCTTGGTCGCTTTGTTCTATGTTGACTTTCCTATTTTAAGAGGCCTTATCCCCATTGGTTAATCTGGTAGTATGGTGCCAAAGAGTCCATTTATAACGCGTTTGTGCATGGTCATGTTTATGTAGTGTTTATCCTGGGAATCGGCTTAATCTGAAGATGTCTCTTGTTCAAGTCCATTTATTTGTTGTCCACCATCATTAACCTATATATAATTTCCGCCTACGCTTAAAACCGGGCAGGTTCCCCAGTAATTAACATTTACGACAATTGTGTTGTGGCTGAGGCGTAAGTTCCACCTAAATGGTAATATTACTTCTTTTATTATAGAAATACGCTGACAATTTGGGCATTCCCTTTTTGGAAACCAGTGCCAAGACTGCCTCCAACGTTCAGGAAGCCTTTATTAAGATGGCCGTTGAAATCAAGAAGTCCGGAACTAACATGTCGGGTTCAGCGGCTCAAACTGTCACCGTGGGAGCGTCGACGCCCATCAAAAAGGAGGGGGGGTGTTGTTAAGTACCTTTCCCATCCCTCAACTTCATTCCACATAACCTACACGTACTTCTTTGTCCGCTGAATCTTGATCACCATACCAACGTGTACAGAAACAAAACCGACACACCTTACTCCCACCACCGCCATAGATCGCTGCTACGTCCTCTGTTGATTGTCTTTTCCATCCTCATCTTAAAATGGGAAACATTCGCCTCTGTTTTTCGTTTATCTTCGCTTCTTTCTGAATATAGCTCCGTCTTTGAGCTGGATTCTGGCTTCTTTCGTCATCTATTTCGTGTGGGAACGAGTGTGCGTACGCTTGCTTTGTGTCGTGTCCTTTTCAGAGTAGCAAAGTTTCTCCAGAAAAAGACCGCAGTGTTTTATCTTGCCTCAGTTAGTTATTAGCATCTTGTGTTTCCAACGTGTTTTATGCAAATGGGAAAAATTCCGAAATATCTGGCTGCTGTGTTTGCACAGAAGTCCTGCCGTGAGCCAAATGGTAACCTATTTAGAGGCTGCTTCCAGGTTTTTAGCTCAATGCTTTTGTTATCGATTTGGCTCCGTAATCATATAGTATCGAGATAATAAAGTCGAAATCAACTGAAGTAGTCTCACGTCGTATGCGTCAACCTGTTGTGGCTCTATCTGCGCCCCCGTTTTCGTTCCGTCTGCTATCGCTTCATGCTAGTGTAGAAAATTACCTTACGCGGATGATAATTATTGTCGTTACCTTTGGAACGAGTAATACTCGTATACGTCTGATAAATCTCTGGTTGTCGGTTGGACCTCCCTTTGAGTGATTGCGTCGTACTGTTTGTGTATTACCTGTGTCTGGTGTTCGTAGTTAATTTTTCTCTCATCAAAGAGCCCCTTATTCCGAATATTTGCATACTCACTATTTCGGAAGTGCATGTTCCCTATCAAGTTATGATCGATCTGTGTCTGCGTAATATTACACACGTGGCTCTTTTAGATGTTTTACAAAATGGGGCTGATTTATTCAGGGTAATAATTATTTTATTTCACGTTCACTTTCATCACAGGAGGTAGTATTCACACCGTTTGTCTACTTTTTTCTCAAGTAATTATTTTTCTGGCAGTATTTACATGCATATACGGTGTAATCTCCAGTGTATTTGCTGTCTCAAATTCACTTGACCAGAATGATTCTGCTCTGCTTGCCTACCCTCGCATGACAGGGAAGGATGATCAATAGCCATTTTTATGTGTGCGTATTTATACTAATGCCAAAGGAATGTCGTGCTTCTCTTGTGCTTGTTACTCCGCTGTCGTGTGCGCGATCATGTTAAAAGCGTTACTGTAACCGCTGTGGTTCATCCCGATACTGCTTCTGATTATTTAGTCATTGCTCACTGGGTCGTTTTGGCTTTGGATTCATGCCTCTACCTTTCCGATGTCTTTAGCCTTACTCGAGGCCTACTATGAGCATTGATGTTTGCACTTTAAGGTCATGGTGTTAATGCATAAATTCCGTGTGAAGTGTTCAATATGGTGTGCTTCGTTAATATGATTACATACGGAACTGTCGTGAATGATTCATCTGTGACTCCGTCTTAATGGAACGACCAAAAATCTGTACTTGAAGACAGCTTCGTAGCTGCTTGTAGGGGAAATCGCCCTTTGTACCTAGCAGTTCGTCATTGGCGTCGCTAACGGTGGTAGCTTACTTGTTATATGCACAGAATCATCATGGCAAATAGTAAATACTCGTCATTGACCATTTTTATACTTCAAATGGACGCGTTCCAATGCCATTCGTATCCGGTAAGATTTAGGATTTCCGTCTCGGGTTCTGATTCATGCGTTAGTTGGGCTATTAGGTGTTGGGGTATTTATTTGTACAAATCAGCACAGTATTGGCCGCAGCCAAAGTTTCATGTGTAGTACAGGTATGTGCCCGCAGGTATTTGTGGCTCCCATTGTAAGATTACGGCTTATTTTAGTGACCTCAGTCTTGGGCTAATTAATTTTCCTTTTTTCCCTATAAACCTCATCTATTTATCAGTCCGGGCGAGTGGATTTCTTGGCCGAGGCAGTTTACTGCTAGGCGTGAGTGTCTACAAAGGTTTTGCAGAAAATTTGTCCTCGGCAAACGTTGTGTCTGAGAGACAGCGTTAACACGTTTCCCCTACTCACCCTTAATGAGCGACGCCGCAAAAATGGCTCCGCAAAACCTTGGACTAAGATTCTAACTTGTATTTGGTTCACTTCTTCTATGACACCCATTTCTTGGGAAAGAGTTGAATTCACTACACCAAATTTTACTAATGGTCGGTTTTCTCAAGTACCTCAATATCATGTAACATTATTATTGATTGGTGGGATTAAGCAAAGTTCCTGTGTGCTCTGGGTAGGACTTCATACACTCTTGTAGTGGCACTCCCTCGCTGGTCAGTTATCCAAAACCCAAATTTCTAAGGCACTTGCGGTCGCATAAGTTGCTTATTTAATCAATCGTGCCCGGGTAAATGAGCTGTAATGCCCGAGACCTAGCTGATCGCATTTGCTGAGGCCCGGCTGTTGGTTGAATTCCTGAGTGCATTGTGGATGTCAAGAACCGCCGAAATTTGCTCCGGTCAATCTCGGTATTCAGCTATCTACGAAAAAATACGTATTTGTAGTAGAGTATCGGTCTAGTGTCAATTTCTGCACGTCATATTGACATATCGAAAAGTGCTGTGTAAAAACAATCTCGATCGCAGACTCCCTTAAAATTGCACCACGTAATTATTCCATGGAATACTTTATGAATTAACCAATAAAAAAATGTCATCGTCATTTGTTTCAGTGTAATCTCAATTGATAGATGTATTTGGGGTTTGGATTCGAGTGTCAATTTTGCTTGATGCTATAGTGACGGTTGTTGATTGGGTAGTTTGTACTTCAGATAAACCTTTTAACGGAATGATGGTTAATATATTTTAAGACGGTTTGCCACATAATACTTGTTAAATGAATGTTCCAAGTTCTATGCCGCCTATTTGCCAACTTTGCGAGTCTACTTGAAAGAAAAGTTTCACATTTTTGTTTATTATCTCAATGGCTTTAACGATAGTTTATTGTTCACTGTTTTTAGGACAATCACTGAAATTAAAATGCGCCACAGACGCCTGGCGTCCCTGTCCCCTTGTCTCACTCGACAGTTTTTTGGTTGTCAGGTTGTCTTCAATCCTCTCCTACTTCTTAGCCAATATACCTCATCTAAACCTACTTCAGGAGGTCCGGTCAAGGATCCTAGTCTTGTTTCCTCACCACAAGAACCGCGCCAATTCTACCGGCGTCCCCTTCCAGCCTCATGTATAGCTTTTGCGACCGCTGAAGGGCGCCAGTTGTTCAAGGAGGCTCTGGAAATGGGCTTCATGGAGGCCTTTTTCGACCTTGTGCCTCAACTTCGGACTCAAGTGAGTCTGCTATAAATGACCCGAATCGCGTTTTTCTACCATTTCCAAATTTTATTAAGCCAAGATTCAGGTTTTGCATCCATCATTTCATGAATAACTGTGAATTTCATCATTACCTCTTGAACATTGCCTGTTTTTAGTTTATCGTGGTTGAACACTCTGCCTAAGCCGTTGGCTAATGACACATAGACACGACTGAAAATGCGGACCTAATCGAAGATAGTGGGAGGAACGCATATAATTGAGGTGTGTATATTTGGCAACTCGTTTGGCCTGGGATTCCAGCCTGGGTATAAGGCGAGCAACTACCATCCAGACGCAAATTTGGGATGGTATGTGGTTTCGAAAAACAGGACACCTGGGGATACAGGGTGATTTTGGGGTATGGAAATGTGTCTTCAACCAATACGCAAACTTCATATTACAGTGCAGGACTGAGACCAGATCCCTTGCATAAGCTTTAATGTCGCAATCATAGGTCGAGCTCAACTTTAGAATGACTGGCGTATGCATGCTTTGGGTGACCTTGACTTGGTGGATTAAGAGGAGGGATGAGCACGTATTAGAGGTGTCACTGTGAGGTAGATTGGGACTTTACGATGGTTTGATGTAGCTAAGGCAATGGATCCCCTTTTAACAATTAGTAGCGCTTCTTTGGGTCTATCCGGAGTAATGTCCATTTCCGACGTCTACTACTTTGTCTTGGAGGTATTTATCGGTCAATGGGTCTTTGATTAGTTTCCGGCTGTTCTGGTGTGACTGTCGGCAGTTGGAATATGTCAGCAAGTCTAACGGAATATCTATCTGGCGAATCGGTGTCCTTATGCGCGGTCTTCGACGAAGTTGGTTTACCTATCTCATGTGTAGTGATCCACCTTCGTATCAAAGATGATCGTTTCGTGTCCACGTGCGATCTTTCCTTAGATCCATGGCTCACATCCTGGTCGGTAGTCCCAATTGTAATTTGGAGTTCTTACGTCAGACTGAGTACTAGGTTCCTCTCGTGGATTCTTCAGGTGCACGGATTGCGCTGGTGAAATGGAACGTGTTGTCTTCTACTTGCCACTTACGAGTTCCTCGAAGAGTGATTGGTGAAATGGAAGAGCCTAATTTGGTGTTATGCGGCCCTCTTCCCTTGAGATTTAGCAAAGTCATCTTCAAGGCGTCGACGAAACGTCTAGCCTGTTCATCTGGCTGTGGATGGTGGTAAAGGAACAAAATATGCATGAAGGGGTGTTGCCTTTAGAAATGAGGGGAATTGTGAGCCATTGTCAGAGAAGATTGTATATTTGGCCACACTTTTAGCCCTGGATTCCAGTCTAGGTAAAGACGAGTGACCAACGGTATGTGGTTGTGAATAAGAATAAAACTGGAAAAACACTTTCATTTTGGTATGGAAATGCGTCCTATGGAGGTAAATTGGAAAATTTATTTCTGACCTCTGGAAAGTTATCGATTCCGGAATGCATACCTTTTGTGTACACTAAATTTGCACTAGCAACCACAGGAACGGACTCGTCTTGCAGATTTTGTGATTTACAGTCATCGCCGTTTCAAGCGGTCTCTTGGTGCCTCCAGGTAGTAAGGCCACTTGTAGATACCATGTTTTTCGGAATGCTACCTCATTAGTCTTCCAGATAAACAATAACTTGACCGAACAACATAACTTCGACTAAAATCTATCAACAACATTGTGTGATAATAATTGGTAGCGTATTTTTTCATAATCATTCCCTGTAGGCGAATCATTAACAAACCAGTGAAAATTCTTTGCTGCGCACATACATTTGCCGGACCCACTGAGCAATCTCTTTAGCTCACTTCTTCGCGACGTGTTCTTTTTAAAAGCCTTGACTCGATACAAATTGTCAGTAGTGTTGATGTGTTTAAATATTTTTACCTAACACAGGACTGATAATTTTGATTGTATGGATATATCCATGCAAACTAAAAATTTTCTTTGAGGCCACGTGCAGCACTGTGGATTTTTTCTTGGGTGGGTAAGAGCTTGTAGTTGAGTCTCCAATGGGTGACGCGGGTACATAGTTTTGCCATGCTTTTTCTCACTATCTTGGACGCATATTTGTTATTTGATACACTACCATACTTGCACTTTGGTACGCTTGTAGAATGTCAGTACTTTTTATTTGCTTCGTATTTCAGTGTTCGAGTTGGCTCGATTAGTGATACACATTCGAATTGTTTTGCGGTATCTTGGTTTGTTCGTTTCCGGAAAATGCATTTCATGTTCTTATGCTCACCAAATGGGCCGGAGGTGGAAAGATTACTAAATGCTTTGAGATGTGCACATTAAAACGAATTTTTTATAACATATTTGAGTGTGCTCTGTGGAAGTCCAAACTACTATTTTCGTGGCTTGTCAACTTGTTTGTGGGCTAAATTTCATGATCCGTGGCCCCTCACTTTCATGGGGACACTTTTAAAGCAGCCTTCCAATCTAGCTTTTTTTAAGCATTTTTGATGAGTCCTGATTGCGCAACCATGGGCTATGTGTGGACTACGTTGATTTAACCTGTGACCGACGCGCTGGTATCGCGTCGTGACCGTAACAACTCCACTCTTGTATTCGGTAACACAGTTTCTGTTTAAGGCTTGAATCGTAGTTTCTCTCAAGCCGTCGTGACATGGCCACTATCGAGCTATCACAATTTTGGTTGATGCATACAGGCCCAACATCTCGTTTAGGTTCAACCCTCGTATTGCGGTCTTTCAGCCATGGTGATGGTGCTAAATTCTTTTGAGATGGACCCTGGACGAGTTTGGAAGGCGCCTTGGCGTTGGTATCACGAGGACATGCTCACCTGCTGTCTTTCTTCTGAAAATCTTCTCACCCATGGCATAACCATCGATCAGTTTCAGTGCATCGCCAAGTGTAATGGACTAAACGTGAGTAATCTAGATGACCTTCCACGCGCCTTGTTCTAAGACCTGGTTTGGACCAATTTCTGAAAAGTAAACCCGCGTAACAACTGCGACTCAACTACGAAAAAGGGTTTTTGTACTTTACGTGGTTGTAGCTTAACCCGTTAGAAAATGCTTGCAGCTACATCACTATCATCGTAATATGCGACATTGTGTATAAATACATAGGTATCAACCTTTTGGTACAGCACGTTGTATCTCGTAGTTTTTGGCATTTTTGAGAATTCGAGTAAACGTGTGCGGGAGCAACGAGTAGTCAGTGTCTATGGTGCGTTAACGAAGAGGGTTATGAGGAGTCCCGTTGCTAAATGCACCGATTCAGTGTCCAATTGTTACGTTTTATCCATAAGCCAAGCCACACACTCAGATCACTTGTCTGACGCTAGTCCCCATCTTCCCATGCTGATGTGGGACAAGGCATGAGTTCGTACAAAGCTTTTAATGTCTCAGCCAAAAGCCGAGTGATCAGTCAGAATGTTAGCACATGTAAGTTAAGAGTGACCTTAACCTGATGGATTAAGACGATTTAACACATGAAACCGTCAGTAGGGTGCCGTGAGTGACTCACTCACTGAGGTGGCCTGGAATGGGGGAATTGCGTAAATAATGACGAAATCCTAATCCGCGATGAGTCGTCTTAGGTTATGGTGGATCCCCAACGTTGATACTGCGAGGTTTCTGTCTATTTACGCTCCGATACCTAAATACTACTAGCGCAAGTTCCTGTAATATGACAGCACAAACATTGTCTACACATTTTACAAATAGGCAAAGCCTCTGTTTGTTTGGCCACATGCTTATAACCTGTTCGTGAAGCTAGCCTGTTTGTAAGGCTTTTTTCTGTAAGTAGTTTGGTTTAAACTGATTTTAGAATTTTGATACATTTCGCAAATAATTGGCAGGAAAATTTAGTGTTTAGTATAAATTGTCTGCTCAGTTCATAGCCGGTTGATGTTGGTAAACACGTCGTACAGCGACAAAGACGTCAAGCGGATAGTATCCGTAGAGTTATGCTAAAGTGCTACTTATCGTTAATGCAGCCCACCTCCCACGTACAAGTACTGTTGTGACTGTATAAACCAAATACCAGTTCGTAAAGAATCCTGTCATCAAAATTTTTTGTATTAGACACCTGAAATGCGCTTATTTCGTCACTCCGCCATTTCATGAAGAGTTTAATTTTATCAATGTTACACAGCTAGTTTGTAATTGGGTAGGTTTTACTTGCATTGAACGTGCAGTTACGGTAGGCACTGATTCAGCCGTGTCATGCATGATCGTCGTAGTTGCCTTCTGCTCTTGTATCGCATCATAGATCGACCTGCACCAACCAAGCACGCCCGATGAGACGGTAGACGCCTTTCGTTCACGTCTGCTCAGCATTTGCTCCCAGTCCCTTACCGCATCGGGCACCATTTTGGTGGTGTGCTACGACCGCAAAGCCCTGAAGCAGACCGGTAGTGGTCACTTCGCCCTCGTGGGAGGCTATCATCCAAAGCGCGACCTCCTCCTAATGCTAGAAACCGCAGCATTCAAGTATCCACCTCATTGGGCCCCTGTGACTGCAATATACACTGGGATGCGCTCATTAGATGTGATGAGTGGGCGTCCGAGGGGCTATATGCTTATTACAAAGGCGTTTAACGCAAGAACCGGATTTCCTGTTGAAGAAGGACGACATCGACCTGCCGAAGAATTCGTGGCGAACTCGCCTGTTTTGGCAGATTTCTCTCCCGAAGTTGATCGTCTTCTGAATAGACTTAATCTTTTTTGCCTCGCAGACGCCGCCTATCAAGTGAGTACTAGTGGCGGTTACAAACTCATTACTTTAACAAAACGCCATGACCCAATGGGCTTTTAAACTACGTTGTGGTTAGAAAGTGATGGATGACAATTAGAATTACAGAGACCCGACTAAATAAATTTCCTAACGAAAAAAATTCAACCCTCATTTACGAAAAAAAGTATCAAGTGGGAGAACTTCTTATCAATGTTTAAAGAAATGAATTAAATCTCAGAAAATGTACCTTGGCAAATTTTGTTGTGTTGCTACTTTTTTCCTTGGTCATGTCTTATGCGATTCAACTCAAGTCACTATGGACCTTTAAAAATCCGACATGTTACCTTTATTCACACTATTCGCTGCAGTCTTTTAGGAGTTATGGAGATTCGATTGAAACAAGACCGGTCTTATGACGAGTTCCTTTGTGTACTTCCACATTGCTTCCACTAATACCTTATTTATCGCGAGGTGCTTGAACTGGTGAACTTTGAAAATACGGGAAACTACCTGTGTTGACGTTCATTTGTTCTCTATATCCTCAATGGTGTTAGGATTCCCTTCACATTGTTGCCGATGGTTTGCTATATTTCTACGCGGATTCTGATTATGGCTGTCACCTGGATATGTAATAACGAGGCGTAACCCGATGGGAGATTCAAACCACGATCATTGGACTGCTATTTCTACATGGTTTGTCTTGATTTCAAACTAGTGCACAGAATGGTTAAAAAAAGTTCACTGTTCTAGCTGTCGACGTCATTTCAGTCAACTTAGCTAGTCAACTAAATTCAAGTCGTTTTCTTGATATTTACATTCCCGCATCTCCCATCTTCTGTGCACAAGAGAGGCCTTATATTCGTAAATTTCGGGGTACAACGTTTGTTTACACCATGGTCGCTTTGTGTTTGCTTGTATCGAGCAGTTTCAACTTACAGCCAGAACTCGCAACAACCAGTTAGTGGTACCTCTGCCTGTATTGCACGCGAGTCAGGGACACTTATGCTGTTCTATAGTTGACAGCTTGGCAATAATAAAAGTGAACCAATGACTTCCCACGAGGTTGTGTCATCATGCCCTTAGCTGCCAAATCAGGAAGTCACCCCATTTCAGCCTAACTTGTAGAGTGCCACTTGTAGTGTGTTTTCTGTGGTTAGATAAATTCGCTTTGTAAGCGTTGTTTCAAATATTGATAACCTTGTGAGAATACTGTTACTGGACACTTTATCATCAAAGCTAGCGCCATGGATTAATTCAGATGGTGATCGAAATAATCTACTCATTTTTTAAAAAAAAGTGATGCTAATAGTAATGGTTTGCTATCGGTTCTAAACCAGTTGAGGTCGTACCTAAGAATTAGAAACTCTTTCCAAATTGTGTCTTCAGAATTTATGATTGTGTTGTATCAGTAATATTAACTTGCAGGAGCGTCAAAGTCGTAGTGAATAGAATTCTAAACCATGCATAGTTTTCACGCATGCATTACTCTACCCCAGGCATTCTCGTCTCCCGCTTCCCTGGTCGATCCAGGAAGTGCGGGTGGCCGACTTAGACTTGTGGCTGACGAGTGGTCTGCTTATCTCAGCTCAACTCTTCTCAGCAGTCTCGGAAAGTCTTGTTGTTGCCTCTTGCATCAGCAACATTCAGCAGCCGGCCCTGCGAATTGCTCCCCTATCCCCTCCGACCCATCATCCCAGCGTCTTTCCGGCCACCGTTGTGAATGCCCCTGCTTGGTGGACACCCTTTTGGATCGTTTCCTGGGACTTTTGATCAAACACAGACCCTCGGGTTTTTTTTTCAGCTGTCAACCTCTTTGGACCGATGGCACTGCTGACGCCTCTCCTACTCTCGAAACTGCTACCCAGGTGCAGCTACTATTCGACAGTATTGATTTTGCATCAATAAGGACCAGAAATTTTGACTGGCATCGATTTTCTTAACTTCTACTGCAGACCGCACACGTTAATTAGGGCCCACTCCACAATTGTCAACTTTGGGTAATGGAACTGATGAAAACAACCGTAAAATTTACATGAAGCACGTTTATTACCCTAACCAATTTTCACGTATATGAACGCCGTAATTCTGTTCTTAGTGGTCCGTAAATGGACGGACTCTGTCTTAGATTAAGGCTCACTGACTGTCTTCATATTTCTACTAGCCTCTCCCATAAAACTGATAGGTATCTTCTCTCGAAATCCTTATGCTTATAACAATGCGTAACGTTAAACCTGCTTGCTTGTAGCTGCAAGTCAAACTCTGTGAATAAGTTATGTCATGTACTACTGCGGCTTGTACCCGTGCAGAAACTTGACTTATTACTAACATGGGTCGTAGTGCCAGGTCCCTACCCATTACGATAATGAGAACTAAATAGGACACTTCTCAGGACGTCAAATCGTGGCATATAAAAGGCAGAAGCAATCCCAGTATTTCCTTTTTTATCATGGTAAAAAACCTTTCTTTTCAATTGCATACGAAACAGCGATTCACGTTCCCACATCCGAATTCGTTCGCAACCTAATTAGCATAAAACTAAGTTCAGGGACCTTTGATCTCATCTGAACAAAGCTGCAAATTTTGCCTTGAAGGTAATCTTCGAGTTGGTCTCCTCAGCAACAGGACGGCGGGCGAGACTCGCTTTAGAGCGCCTTCCTCACCGGTCGTACGAGTGGCTTACTTCCGATAGCGGCGGTCCTCTCACCTACCGTGCCATCACGTCAGTTCAAAGTTCTGGCAGTGCCTCCTGTCGCCACCCAGCCTGTGCCCTACCTCTTGTAACAGACGCCAAAATCCGCGCGACTGCTCTCCTTACCGCGTTCGTCCTCGCGTTTCCTTATCATATTTTGTTGAGCGCAAACCAGATCCGCGGCCCTGATAGAGTAATTGATGTTCTGAAGAGTTCTCATCACATTCTAGAGCGCTTACCCCAACTTTCTGGTCAGACCTGTTTTGCGGTACTGACGAAGGGGACTCACAATGAATTAACAGTTCTATCAAACATTCTTGCACGCCTCGTCGCCGCCCAGAGACCTCTGGGAAGTCGATGTATTGATACGTAGTGCTTGTAAAGGCGTTGTTAAAGTGACTTTGCTCAGAAGTATTTTATAATATAGAGGTGTCACACAAGCAGCCTGAGGTACGAGTTGTTTCATTGCTTTCTAAAATGCTATTCTCTTAATCCCGGGGACCGTTTAACAGCGTTGATGAGTGCCTTAACGGTGATAGTGATCGATTTTCAGGTCACACTTAAATGAATTTCTAAGTGTTTTCTAACTGCTTTATCCGGACTAGCAGTTTGGTTTGCTCAAAGACCTTCTTAGAAATCCTTCACTCTTGTTTTTTATACAATCACATCAGCGCAGCATTTAACCTTCCATACGAATTATAGGCGGTTGTCACCCATTTCTCGAGGACCTTTTCAGACGTCCGTATTTTGCCCTCTGACACCTCTGCTCAACATAAAGATGCTTTTTTATGATATGCCGAATTACTATGATCGAATTACACTCCCCAGTCTGTCAAAAATACCAACATGCAGGTGAATTTGACGGAAGCGACCACATTGACCGTTGTTTCAGATTGAAACCAATGTTATTCGCACTTTAGACGTCTTTTTATACAGGAACGCGATAACACTTGAGTTTGAGTTGTAAGTACGGTAAGCTATATGTATGATTTTCAATGGATGAGAACCCAGAACTACGTTCAACAAGAATAAGCGAAAGAAATTATTTGCAGTTTTCATTTTATCACGCTCTCTCTGCCTTAATAGAGGGCATATTTTTCAAATCTAATTTTATGTGGTACAAAAGCATTCATGAAGGTGAATCCAGACTGTCTTCTTGAAGCTTGTCTGCTATTTCTCTGACCTGAGAGAGGAACTCTTGTGCTTGATCATTAAGATCGTCGAAATCACCGATCATCTCTAGAAGCCGACCTTGGCGCCAGGTGTGACTGTCACCTCGAAGGAGAAGATGAAGCAAACACAGGCACACTAAGTTAGCTTCCTTTGGTCGGAGGTGTAGGTTTTTGTTGGAAAGGTTAAACTCGGCCATTGCATTCTGTAGCTTACTATAGACTGCCGTAAACGAGACCTCCAAACGAAACAATATCTTCTTCAAACTAAACCAGGTAAACAAATCACGGTAATGGTTCAATGTATGTGTGAAAACTCAATTTTGGCGTTTTCGAATGTCGCAACTGATTACTATTTCCAAACTTAATAGCAATTACCTTGGCAAAAGAGATTCCATTAGTAGACGAAGACGGTAGCTTTTTTGGGATACTGAATCTACCAGAGGCATTATAGTAGTAATTGGCTATAAGGAAAATATAGAACCGAAATGAGTATTTTAGTTTGCAATGGGAGAGGTTGACACTTCGACAGATTAGATATTAGGTTTACTGGCGTTTTAAACTTTGATCAGTAGAATTTTGGCAACAGGAAAGTCGCTAGATAACTCAGGATGTAACCGAAAGGCAGTGGACACTGGAAGACCCACCAACTTGAATGAGTGTGTAAGGCCTCCAAATGCTTTGTTAATGTTCAAATAATTTATTTTATACACTTAATGGTGTACTCACGTATCTCCATTTCGAAATATTTTTAATTTGGTCCTAATTATCTGAGACTACACGAACTACTAAATGAGTACAAGAGTGGTCAAGATGGGTGTCTTGCTCATTGACTCAACCATCTTCGGGTAGCTTTTCTTTAGGAAAAGAACAGGCCTAGCTATCTGCTAAAATATCTGCGCTTGAATCAGTTACCTGCTCCGCCGGAGGAATCATATCATCGCATTTCACCTCACACGACGGTGTATGAATAGGGGGATCGTTTGAGGCATAGGGTTCGTTGCTGAACAAAGCCTCTACTGCCCTTTTTGTCATCCATTCCTGAAGACGAGCCAAAACACAGTCTGCCAAATTGTTGGTATTCTTCACTGCTGTGTAGCTCCCGATATCGACTCCAGCAGTTGAGGTTGTATTGAACTCAGCGCTCACCTTCCGCTCTATAACTTTGGTTGATCCTATTCGAGGAATTACTTCATTCCACGGTTGGGGCCCCGTCTCTACCGTTTCCTCATTGTCTGGTTCTGAGGCGCAGCTTTCCTCATCACCTTGTTCTGATCCTTGTTCATCAGATGAGGAGTCTTTCTTGTCACCCTCATTTTCAATGTCAGCATTGAGTCTTAGATGGCGCAACGCATCTAAGATGGTTTTTCCTGGCCGACCAGGCGCATTCTCAGGGAGGAATTTGAGGCCAATCATCGGACCGGTAGGGAGAGGTCGGCACCAGGCCGGTTCTGAGGGAATTTGGCGTCTCAAGTAGCAGGATGCACGATAGCACCAGTCAGAGCAGAAGTACTGCGAATTTCATCATGGAAAATGTAAATTAAACGATAAATTTGCTGATACATTTCATATTTCATGGAACTGCATGTAATGAGTAACGATTTCGAAGTGTCGACTTCCGATGCAATTTAAACAAATCCAAACACTGGCTTCGAAAATCAGGGCTTCAGTCATGACTTTTGCACAAATAAATGAAAACCACGTGGGTAGTTTTCAGAGCAGACAACACAGGGGCATTGTTACAAAAACACGTTTATTTAAAGTAACGTCTTGAATGGACTAACTAATGCATCGTATCTGCCACTAACATGTCGGTGCACAGTCGTCAAATCGTTATCGGTCACCGCCAGAGTGTAGGACGATGGCTGGGGAAAATTATGCGTATTCGAGGTCAAACAACAATCATTGCAATGGAGAATTTGAAGTAGGAGTCATAGGGGTATCTTGCAGCAAGTTCTCCTTAAACGAGTTGCGATTAAAAGGTGGCACATGCGACATTTGCGAACGATTGGCGATGCTTGAAACGTAAGACTTCTTCGGATATTAAAATCCAGGAAAGACGTGCCCCTGAGAAACTAAATATGGCTATGGATGGAGTGTTTTACTTAAGAGGGGTGCATTGTGGTAGCAGAACGCGTAGTCTGTTTATTAACAACAGCAATTGGAAACAACATAGATTGTTATGAGATAATTGCCGGAAGAGACTTAGAGCACCTGAACACAGTACTTCTGACCAGCTCTAAACAAGCCACCGCAAAAAAACAAGTATCGTAACAACTCTTTTGGATAGGCAATGCGTCTCCTTCCAAGCCGACCAATGTCGTTAGCGAGCTCATTTGTCCACATACTTCAAAGGCCTCGAAACTGGGCACATACTAGTCATTAACTTTTGTGTGCTATATACCAATGGAAAGCCTAGGCACACATTAGATTACTCAATATAAAAAATACCAACCCCGTAGGGTGAGGGTAATGCCAAGGAATATAAAGTCCTGCACTTGCGACTTCACATGAGATTAAAATTTTTTGCCTACCACCAACCTTTCTGTCGCCAACTTCATAGACACATCGTCTAGACGAAGAAATTCGGTACTGCTGCTGGATTCGCGTTGTCCCGATTGGCTTTACACAGAGAAGATAACCGCAATTGCCGTAGCCCACACGCTCCACGGGAATATCATCGTACTGCTCACGTTCAAGCCAGGGCAACTGGAGAGTTGATGGAAATCTTATAACTTTCAAGTTTGTGCTATTGGTACAACAGCTTTAAATAAACTTAAAAAAAGAAATGATCTATTTCCACTCCAACTCCAAAAGCCGTTTTAATGAAAAAGCATAAGCTAAATGATTTTTTTATTTGAGATTGACGGCTAGGTCCATCAACGAAGCGTCCGGCGATGGTGGTCCTTAATTCCTATACACCACCACGGAAGAGAGATCATACGGTTCGGTATAACAAATAGGCTCGTAAAAAAACAAGCTAAATTCAGACAATGACTTCTGGGACTTGAAGCAATTTCGTGATTCGTAGGACAGAGACACAATGCGATAGAAATTTTAAACCAAAAGTCGTGAACACAGTTCTATAGAAGTAAGCGACGAACCTTATCACATCACCAGTCGAACCTGCAAGTAGACGAATAAGAATTTATCCTGACACATACATTGAAGAAAGCTATGTTTTTAGTCTTAGTATACCACAGCAATGCAGGAATCTGATTGCTTCTTTGATAAATTGAGGGATGAACCTACCGCGATTCCGACCATTTCAACTGTAATCGGATTCATTCCAAACCTTTCCACAATAGTAAGAGCATTCTTCAAACAGAGCGCTTTCCGCCTTCGTGTCGCATCAAAATCTGATTTAGATGCCTGAAAGGGTCCTCTGTCTGAATCATCTGGTTCTTTCAAATTGAGGTCTTTACCAGCCATCTATAAAAGAAAACAAGCTTAATGTATTTTACTGACGAAAAATTACAAATATCACGAGCACTCATTGATTCAACGCTAAAGGAACCTGGTGAAAAGAATTGCTACGTGAGTAGGTGACAAGCTACTTTCCTAAGCATAGGTGTAAGAAGGAAATGGGGTGCTGCCAAGGCATCTCACCGAGTATACAGAGGATTGATCGGTGACCAGATTTAAACTATAAGATTCTGAAGCCAACTAACGCGCTAAGTGCTTGGAGTAAGAAGTCCCCCATGCGTCCCTTCGTTACGAATAGTATAAAGGTTCCGAAAAGCAGTGCGCCGAAATACCAAACTTAAGTTCTGTGCATCCTGTCTACGTAGTTAGCAGCTCAGCATTATGGTTTAAAAACATTACCTGACGTAAAATAACCGCCGAAAACGCGTATCAGATATTCGGTAAATGGACAATATTGGAGGATTTACATGTGAGACAGACATACATCACAAGTCAGGAGTCTTTCACCTAGCTATTTAATTATCTACAGGATATGAAATTTTGGCAACAAGAGAGCACTGAAAGCAGTAGGCGTAAGGTTTTCGAGCAAGTGCAGCGATTCCTTCAATGATGAATTCGCCTCCACATCGACACGATACCGCGTAGATCTCTGAAGGGTCAATTTTGGGGTCGTCATCTTCCAAAAAAGCACTCCAAGGAATTTCACACTGTACTGGGCAACTGGGACCAGCCGATTCCTGCAACTGCGCCTGGCGCAGAATGGCGTCGTAGCGTTTCCGACATTCAGTGTCACCCAAGGCTTGCCAAGCGCGTGATAGAGCATCGAAGAGGCTCCTGCGAAACGACTGTTGGTCCGGCGGGAGGGAGGCGCACTTGTCGGGATGACATTGCAGTTGTTTGGTACGCAGAGCCGCCTTCAGGGTAGCGGTGTCATCAGTTGGCTCACAGCCAAGCAGGTGGTAAAAATTCTCCTACGCGCATAGAAGAATGCATTCAGCTGTTTGGAAAGAGAAAAATCTATTTGCGCACTCTCATTTGAAAATTTTAACACAGATTTGAGAAACTACGCCTGTTGCAAACCTCGCGCACTGAATTAAGCGCTTGTATGGGAACCTTATTTACAGACAGGGACCCGTTTGATGTGATGCCAGCTGACGCTGATTCAACAAAACTCATCCAGGAAGACACAGCCTTCGACTGATACCATCCACACTACCCACGGAACTGTTTGTAAATCGCCACCCACAAAACAATCCTCTACAACCTAAACGGCGAGTGTGGTGACACCGAGTCCCGCCCCATCGTTGCCTGTTTAAGGCTGTACGCTGCCCAGGGAGTTGATGCAATTTACGACTAAAAAGCACCCTAATCCGCCAGACGGAATTATTGACCTTATCCCATGTGAGCTTCACCACCGGGCCCAGAGTTGGACCGAATTGGCAGGCAAAGCACTTCTAAAACTACAAACCTCAGGCGTAGAACACAAGTAGAGACTACTCAGTGACATCATAAAAACTACAGCAAATAATAACACGGTGGTTCACAAAAGACGTGTTTATTCATTGCAAACATGACACGAAGATTTGAGGCGGATATGTACAAGTCAGTCGGACTCCTCTTCGCTTGTGTCGCAATCCTCCACAGCTTCTGGTTTAGCCCCCTCAATGCGTGTGAGAGTTGAGAAAGCAGGTGCTTTCGGGTCCCTCCCATCACCATCGCACTCTTCCTCGAGGTCAGACGAACTGATGTAATGTTCACTGTGAGAGTCTCCAACCGCATGCCTGTGAGTGCATTCGTCCCCATGGCGATGCTGCTCCGAATGCTCACCCTTCCACTCATCTTCCTCATCGTCCCCGGCCTGTGTTCGCTCCTTTCCTCTGGCTTTGATAGCAGCGATCCTCGAATGAAGGTCCCTGGCCATCTTGAAGACCCCCTTGGTGTCCTCTGTGCAGGCATAACACCTCGTCGTCTTTTTAAGGCGTTTCAGAGCGCAGGCCGAGCAGAAATAGTGTTTACAACTAGGGAAGAAACAGGTTACTCGTCAACCACTGAAATTCGCGCTCGCCGAAAACACCCACACGCGCATCTACCCATGGCTGTTTTCCCTCTCTCTCTCCCTCTCTCTACGTGTGCGCGTGTGTGTGGGTGCGCGCGCGCGCGCGCTTGCGCATGAACAACAAGATGCACTTCGCAACTGGGTGGCTTCATGGAATTTGAACTTTCCCAATGTCAAATCCTTTGTAATGGCCACTAGCATAAACGCACCAAAGTGAAACCGAGGTTACTAGGAGACAGCGGGGTGAAGTAGTCACCTTCAAGTGGTAAAGCGCGACCGTTTGCTGGTTAGTCATTAAATGGGCGACTGGGCTGACGACAGCGACTCCAAAGCTGCCCTCTCGCAAATGGCTTTTTAACTGCCGTAGTAACACCTCATATTTGACTGAAGCATCACGTGTGCCTGTTTTATGGGTTAATCGAGGTACGATTAGTGATTGGATAATTACCAATTAGGCGACGCTGCCCGGCACGACCGGTCAAGTGGACGCCTACATTGCTGCGTGAACCATTCTTTGCACTAATAAAAAAATTCCCAAACAAAATTTGGCTCATGCATGGAAACCAGATCAGAAAAAGATAAATCTGCGTCTCTTCATGGAGAGCGTGGAAACTTTTACTTCTCCTGCTTGTATCAAGCAGTCGAGCAGACGCATTACTCACTTAATTACGCCACTTTCATCAGTACGTGCAATAAGGCACCATTGCCATTGCACACCGGCTTCGAATAAAACACCTACATTTCTGACTTTTAACCACATAACTGACGAACAGGACGCAACAGCTAATGCAACCATAAAATGAGGACATGTTTGTGCAACATTTACGCCACTCTGGGCAGATTTGCCCCTTGAAGTCTGGGCACATCCTGGCCCTTGAAATCGCCGTTTTCACGTCTAGTGGTTGCACTTCCTGGTTATCGGCAACCAAAGTATTTCTGCTGCTGGCATTTACCATGCAGCCAAAACCTGAGCTGATATTGGACTACGTGCATGACAGAAAGCAGTCGGTATGCTGGCAACGTGGTTTACATTCTTCCAACAGAGCAGTCAACAAACATGGTCTA